ATGCGTCCGGGCAGCGTATTTCTGCGTATATACGCGTGTTTGTTCATTAACATTTCTATTATGAATGATGCATTGTGGGATTGCAAATAGTGCACGCACATAAGCTTCTTATACGCACATGTACGCGTATATTCGCAATATACAATTTTGCTGTTGCGTTGTGTGTGAATGAGGCCTTAAAAGGAGAATTATGGGGTGAGTGATTTTCACTCCGCCTAATAATCTGAGCCGACGTGTGACAATGAAATTTTCAAAGGTCGGATCAGTAGATCGGGAAATGAGCGAACACATACCGGTGCTCGCTCACTTCTTGATCTATCCCTGCAGAGAGACGTCACATGTCACTCACAGCTCCCTGCATTGATTCCCCTCCCCTGTCCAAATCTCCAGCGCTGACTGGCGGAACGGACGTGGAGGGGGCGGGTACAGCTGGCTCGCGGTATACTGAGCTTTGGGTGACGGGAGGACGCTAGTTTGTGTCCTCCCGTTACCCTTAGGAGAACTATGGGGAAAAGCCCTAACCCCATAGTTCTCCTTTAAAGTAACAATAAACTTTTTTTCAAACAATGAATCCAGATCAATCAAATGTACATCACCCAGCAAAGTATTTATGGTAATATTTGTCCAAGCACTTACAGTTATGTTACTGAACAGCTCCAACTCACTCAACTCTGCTTCCCTAAACTTCGTGTCACAAGGGACAGAGCAGTCTCCAGCAGCCATCCACCTACCGTTGAGGAAGGGAGGTAGAGGGAGCAGGGAGGAGAGGGGAGCGGCTTGCCTTGCTGTGCCTACTAAACTTCCTATCTAGAACAAGATCACAAGGGACAGAGAAGTCTCCAGCAGACGTCCATCTACCCTTAAGGCTCATTCACACCACATCCAGATTGCCTCCAGACCAGACCGTTTCCGGACCCAAAATGCATCCTAAATGTATCCCTATGCCATTTCTGGCCTCTGTTCCCACCAGCGCAGGAACGCATCAAAAACGCATGGAACGCACATGCAAGACCATTTTAAGTGGAAAAAAAAAATTACATTCCAATCACGACAAAATCGCGGTAAATGCAATGCACTATGTTCCAGATGTGGTCCAGAAAATGGTGTGAACCTGTCCGCATTTCCAGACCAGACAAAATAAGACATGCAGTACAGACTGGAACAGGCTGGAACAGACTGCGCTGGTGTGAACAGAGGCCAGACATAGTATAGGGATACATTAGGATGTTTTTTGGGTCTGGAAACATTATTTTATATTTTTTGTTTAAAAAAAATAATTTATCTCTATTTGGAGAATGCCTTATGTAATGGCACTGAGGTTTGACTAGCTATAAACTGTGTGGATAGAGTAGGCATGTTGTATTGTACAAAGTCCCACCCTCATTTCTCCAAAGTAGAAAATGGTCAGATTTAAAGCCTATCGCTGGATAAAGAAAAACCTCTCCTTACAGTGGGCTACCCCCTCACTGTAAGGGTTAACTTCTCAATGTCTAGGGGATTCTTGACAACTATGTAATATTGTGCAGTGAAGTTACTCTTTTTTTTTTAAAAACTGCCGCTTTTAAGAAGCTACTGCACTGAAAACGCTGTTACATTCCTGTCTGGGTGTGGTAGCGACTGATACTGCCATTTCTTTTAAGGGCTTGCTCATACCATGTCTGTTGAGTGGCATTTTTCTGCACATGTATGGTGTGAACAGGGCACCTTGAATACAGCGATTTATATGTGCCCTGTTTACACCTTACATTTTAAGGGCTAGTTCACACCATCGAACATGTATAGTGTAAACAGGGCATATAGAAAACAACTGCACACCAATAACATGCATCAGAGTGCAGAAAAACGCAGCTGAACAGGCATGGTGTGAACTGTTCCTTAAAGGAAATGACAGAATCACTTACATTCCTGTCTGGGTGTGGTAGCAACAAAAAAAAACCCACAGCTCATCAGACAAGTCCTAAAAGATCATAATTAAAGATGCCGTGAATGGTGCACATTTCTGTCAACATCATGTGGCGGTGGTGGCTACCACGTGTGTGTAGAGGGTTAACGGCTTAGGGTTTAAGTGGTTAGATCGTTGTCCCAGAACAGGAAAATATCTGCACAGGGTGGGGCTGAGTGTGTAACACGTCACCTTCTGGTGGCAGCGGTGGGATATGGGCGTATAATCGCCACACCCAACATTTCTATTAGGATGGTTAAGTCATCCTTTGTTGTAGTTTCTGAAAGTTTGTAGCCAGGCAGAGGCAATACGACTATGGCACCCAATGAAAATCAAGGGATCTTCAAAAGGTGGCGGGTAGATCAATTTTAAATAATGCAGACGGGGGTGAATAAATGAAACCGTATTTAAAGTGGACTCGTGCCAAATGAGCTCCATATTCCATCCAGCAGCTGGACGATAATACTAACAGATGTGACAAGCCAGAGCCATGACAGCTGAAACCCAAAAACGTGTGAAAGTGTGTCTGTGAACGATTCAAGTGTTATTCTATCTTCTGCACTGCGGCACGCCATCCTGCCTGATGTTCCCCGCATTGCGGCACAAACCCATAAAGAAGATTCTTGCCCCTTCACCTGGCCAGGTGACCCTAAAGCCCACCGATCCCACCCATCACAAAACCGGAGTGTCTTCATGTTCTGATAAGGAGCGCACTATAATAGAGCTGAGAACTTCTAGAGCAAACACAACATGTTTCTGTGCATTACTTTCCCAGTTTGCCATTTGTGTGGGAATCTAGGCCGCATTCCAGCACGGCCCCTGGACAGACGCCAGGTCTTGTATATCTCAACCAGTGACAGAAAACGGCACACTTACTGGCAAAGCCTCAGTCTGCATTTTATACTCGGCTAGGAAACAGCTTTGGTCTTAAATTTGACGTTAGAATTCCTCAAGGCGGAAGAGGATTTCCAAAGTGCAATTCAATCGGATTCAGCAAGATAATCCTCTGTAAATGACATTTCTGAATGCAAGGCCGTCTTTAAAGTGGGGCAAAACAGGTAGTTGCCCCGGCCCAGTCATTTTTGTGGGGCACAAAGCAGCTACCCCTAGAGCCAGCAAAAGATACACAGGCGGTACCTTTCTGTTTACTATGCGAACAGCATCACATTGTGTTGCTCCACCCCTACGTTACGCCGAGTGGAGTACGCAGGGGCCACGTCTCCCTCTGACGTCTCCTCCTATCTGCTCTGCAGGAGGATGATATTGTGCAAAATTGCATGGCTGGGGTGTGGCGAGTAGGGGGTGTGGTGTGCCAGGTTTTTGGTGGGTAGGGACTAAGAGGGCCAAAGAAAATGTTTGCCCAGGGTCCAAATCAATATTAAAGATGGCCCTGTCTGAATGTATAACTCCAGTTCTTCTATGTGACCCGTTCATGTATGCCATTGCCCTGGATAACTGACAGATAGACGTTGTACCAAGTACCGGAGGATGGAAGGTTCATGCCATCACTTGCTTATCCTGCAAGTTGGTGGATATTTTTTTTGTACATCATGACTGTATGAAGCAGGGACGCACTGGTACCATTGTTTCCAAACAGAGTACGAGTATCAATACTCAAGTACTCGCCAATACCAATTACAATCCCTTTTTTTAGTATCATGTGACAGTTTTTCTAAAACAATACAGACTAATGATTTTAGGACAGTGGTGGAGTGCCAGGGCCTGGTTGCAGCTGCGACCCTGGTAGTTCTGCCACTGACTCCAAGCTGTACAGGGACTACAAATCTCAGCAATGCATTATAATACTATCAGCTATAGAGGACTACAAACCCCAGCAATAAATTACAAACATTATACAGCAATGCAGAATGGCACAGCTATAGAGCACTACAAAACCCAGCAATACATTACACAGCAATGCAGAATAATACCATCAGCTAGAGAGGACTACACATCCCAGCAATACATTACACAGCAATGCAGAATAATACCATCAGTTACAGAGGACTACAAATCCCAGCAATACATTATACAGCAATGCAGAATACCACCATCAGCTATAGAGCACTACAATACCCAGCAACACATTATATAGCACTACAGAATAAAAACATCAGCTATCAAAGGACTACATATCCCAGCAATACATTATTCAGCAATGCAGAATAACAAAATTGCTGTATAATGTATTGCTGGGATTTGTAGTCCTCTATAGCTGATGGTATTATAATAATACCCAGCACTTCAGCCAGCATTTGACAGTGCTGAGAGCACAGTGCTCCCTGCTTCACGGATCACAGAGCAGATCAGGAATGAACATCTCCATCTCAATATATTCTACACCCAGAGGAGTTAGGGACCCCGAAAACCACAGTGGTGGATGCCAGCTGCACAATCATAGGCTAGTATAAGTGATCTGGGTGGCTGCACTTGTAGTTGGCAAGCTGGCCTTGCTGGACATCATTGGTTGCCAGGACTCCAGCCGTCCTAGCAACCAATGACTGCAGTGGAGGGGGGCCTGCACTAGGTTATGGCTGGCAGTCGATGCACCGGCCCCAATGCATGATCCTGACTGCTGCATTGTGCTAACCCTCCCTCTCCCAGTATGCAGTCTACAATGCAGGGGAATACACAAAGCAAATATAAAGAACTAGAGGGTGCTTCTAATAGCCGAATTTAAAAATGCTCTAAAAATTGTTATATTTGTTATATTGGAATTCAGCTTTTTCCATTCATAAAACATTCTGAACTTTCCAGCTAACCGAAGAGGAAAGTCTTAAACTGGCTAAGTGCCACAAGAAAGGACTGAAAGGGCCACATGTGGTCCTCAGCGCACAAATTTGACATGCCTGACCTATCGGGAAGAAGGTGAGCTACCTGGAAAGCTTGCTGTATGAAAGTCCTCCTTACTTATTAGAGTGTGCCAAAGATGGTAGAGATGTACTATGACAGCTGAGCTGTGCCATCAATGGACACATATGAAGTGTTGTATGAACACTCCCTTCCGTCTACCCAAAATATGAATCGAAGGTCATAGAAGGCCGATCTGATCACTCACTTTCTTTGATTTGTTCCTCCATGTGAATCCTCTGTACCATCCTGTGAAAACAAACACAGAGTAAGTTCATAAGCTCAAACAATGAAGGCGAATGTACAAAATGCTCTTCACACAGAATCTGACAAAGAGTCTAGCTCCCTCGTCACCTCCTCAAAAGACTTCTCTAGAGTCTCTCCCTTCCCTAATCTGTCTGGCTATCTCCTACTCTGTCTACCTTTGGCCGATCTCTGCAAATCATCCAAACTGTTCTCTCTGCTTCTCCCAAGACCTCCTACTCTCTAGCTCCCTTGTCACCTCCTTCCATGTGTGCTTCTAGGACCTCTCTATAGTCTCTTCTGCAACTCCCTATCCCAACCTGTCTGGCTATCTAATACTCTGGCTGGCTTTGGCCGATGCCTGAAAACTCACCCAAACCGTCCTTTTCACTGCTCCCAAGACCTCCTGCTTTCTATCACCCTCTTCAGCTCCTCCCATGCTGGCCAATAGGACTTCTCCAGAGCCTCTCCATCGTCTGGAACTCCCTACCCCAATCTTTTTGGCTATCTCCTACTCTGTCCACCTTTAGGCATTCCTGAAAACTCATCCAAACCATCCTCTTCGCTCTTCCCTCCTCCCAAGATCTCCTGCTTTGTGGCTCCAATATGATTACCTCCCATGCTCATCTCCAGGATCCTGAAGAGCTTCTCCATCATCTGAAGAGCCTCTCCATCATCTGGAACTCCCCAATCTGTCTGGCTATCTCCTACTCTGTCCGCCTTAAGGTGATCCCTGAAAACTCAACTGAACCATCCTCTCCACTCCTTCCAGGACCTCCTGCTCTCTAGTTCCCTCATCCCTTCCTCCCATGCCTGCCTCCAGGACTCCTCCAGAGCCTCTCCCATCCTCTGGAACTCCATTCTCCAATCTGTCTGGCTTTCTCCTACTCTGTCCGCCTGAAGATGATCCCTGAAAACTCAACTGAACCATCCTCTCCAGTCCTCTCAAGATCTCCTGCTCTCTAGTTCCCACGTCACTTTCTCCCATGCTTGCATCCAGGACTTCTGTAGAGTCTCTTCCATCCTCTGGAACTCCCTACATCAATCTGGCTATCTCCTACTCTGTTCGCCTTTAGGTGATCCCTGCAAACTCATCTATTTAGGGAAGTCTATCCCACCTCAACCTAAAAACTGAAATTTTACCTTCTCCATTTTCTACTTCTTTAAAAATCAACGCTCTCACTACTGAGTGCCAGGGCCGCGCTTCAAACACCAAAGGGCCACAAGTGGTCTTAACATGTAATGGGAAGACCACCCTTTACTTTAGTACCTTATACTATTTACATCTTTCAATTATTTGATGGTAAAGTTGAAAGATGTAGGTGGTGCAAGGTAGGTGGTCTTCCCATCACGCATTAGGGACCACCAGTCACATGTCACATGATCAAAGGGGAAGCAGTTTAGTTGACTAAGCTTTCAGTAGATGCAATCACGGCATTAAAGATTAATTTTAATAGTATAATTGGAGTCGATCTGAGGAAAGCTCATGGGGCTTCGTCTTTGTTTACGAGACCCATATATAGAAAACATCTCCGGAATTCTTTCCTGGGGTATATATAGCAGATCTACAAAAATAAAAAATAAATTAAGAAAAGCAGGAAGGAATGTAAAGCTGCCATCCCCGGGGCACACAAGGGGTTAAGCCTTGGAAAGAAAGGGAGCCACCGGGTACAATGGCCACATTCTGTCCAGCAATGGGAGTGGGTGGAGATCACAGACTGCAGTGCTGAGGCTGAAGGTCAGAGGAATCAATGCAGTAAAAGATACAGAGCCGACTCCTCAGGACCGCCATGACCACGGAGAAGGCTTTTTTTAAAGGAGAACGCCGCTGAGCGCTATCTGCATGTAAACCGACCACACAGGCCAATTAAATTCCTGAAAAATAACCCGGTCTGTGAAAATACAAAAAGGCGATTGGATTGAAATTGCTTCCTCTGAGTTTACTGCACACTGCGAGCTTCTTAGAACCTGCAGCAAATCATATAGAGCCCCCCTTATTTCCTTTCTGGAGGACATCCAGCATCCTTTAGCCTGGGGGGTAGGCAACCTCTGCACTCCAGCTGTTGTGGAACTACAAGTCCCTACATTGGAAGATTCTGACAGCCACAGGCATGACTTTTAGTTTGACCACAGCTGGAGTGCCGAGGTTGCCTACCCCTGATCTAGCCCTTTCCTCCCCAGCCTGACTGTCTATGGCCCACCCCCTTTCATTCACTGGATTTCATTTCTTTCAATCATGGAGGTTCAGCATCACATGTGGGCATTACCTAGGCAAATGCAGCCTGCCTAGGAACGCCCACTCCTCTAGAATGACATCCACCCATCAAGGCATTTTGATCTTTGTATAACTCCTCCCATGAGCCTGCCCAGTGCTTGCATCAGTGCAGAGGGCTATTGTGAGAAGTCCTGAGGCAGCGTGCTGTGAGGTTTCCAGCAAGCTATGTAATGCACCCTGCTGGCCTCACTCCAGATTGACACCCACCCATTAAGGAATTTTGATATTACGGGGTATCTCTGGTCAAAGTACTGAGGCTGGGTGCTATGATGTTTTCAGGAAGCTATGTACAGCACCCTACCGGCCCCCTCCCACCAGCCATGATCTGTCTGCATTGCACAGGAAGCATATCGACTCAGTGATGAGCCTAAAATATGGTCATCATGAAAAAGGAATGTAAATGTCATTGAATATTGATGAGGAGGAACCAGGGAAGGCAAACTATAAGCAGAATAAGCATCAGCTTTAACAATCTATTGTCTGCTAATTAGGGGTGCACCGATACTAGTATCGATGCCGGGTACTCTTACTCGCCCAAATGCTCCGATGCCTAGCCCGATACTTCGGCTTCTTGATACCGAAAGCTTGGCAGCGAGTCAATACACGCTGGCCGGCTTTCTGATTGGCTGGTAAGCCGGCTCCATGCTCCCTCGTCACAAGTGACGAGGAAGCATGGAGCCGACTTTGCGGTCAATCAGGAAGCCGGGCAGCGCGTCATTACACGGCACCTGGCTTCCTGATTGGCCAGAAAGCCGGCATCATGCTCCCTTGTCACCTCATGGTGAGGGAGCATGGAGCCGGCTTCCCAGCCAATCAGGAAGCCGGACAACGGTCATTACACGGCGCCCGACTTCCTGATTAACCAGAAAGCCTGATCACCTGGTGTAGAGGAAGCATGGAGACAGCTTCGCTTCTCATCGGGAAGCTGGGTGTCAAAGGTTTACACGCCCCCCGGATTCCCGTCTAATCAGGAAGCCAGGTGGCGAGTCATTACACTCCGCCCGGCTTCTTTAATGGGACTTCTGGTACTCAGTATCAGCGAGTACCGAAAAAAAAAAATATCGGTACTTGATACCGAAAAACCGGCATCGGTGCATCCCTACTGCTAATGATGGATGATGGATGGACAACGGAATATGAGCCTATTGCATGTTCAAACTACAGCTGCATCTGACTTTTCTGAGCTTTCTCCCATTATAGTATTACAGTACAGCGGTACCTCGGTTCACGAACTTCATTCGTTCCACGATTCTGGTCACGAATCGAATTGATTGCGAACTGAATCAAATTTCACCATAAGGTTGGCAAGTGTGCACAGGTCTGTCTGTGACCGCCATCTCGACTAGAGGTAGCCACGAACACGTGTCAGAGCGGGGAAGATGGCCGCGGTCGTGTTCGCCATCCGATTTGGAGTTCGCGAACGGAAGAAAAAGTTTGCAGAACTTCCTGTTTGTGAACCGAGGTATTACTGTATAACAATATCTGCGCCCCTCCCCCCCTTGAATTGCTGTGTTCAGGGAATAGAACTCTCATGTCACACAATATTTCCCCCATCGATACTCACCTACATTCCGCACCGAAATCTCTATCTAGTCAGAATTTCCCACCTCTGTACTTCCTGTAATTTTTTTTCCACATAACTTTATTGTTATCACATAGGGGTCTAAGAAACCCTCTATGTGATAGCAAAGAGGATGTGACAGGTCCTCTTTATGCGACATCAGGGGTCTCCAAGACCCATAATGTCTCCCAGGGAACCCCACGAGCACGCACATATAACGCAAACACGCGTCGGGTGCGCCTACGCACATGAATTGCGCCACACATTTTGGTGCGAATGTCAGAGTGCGAGCAATAATTCAAGGCCCATCAATCACTGTTAGCACTAAACTGATGAGCAGTAAAAGCTTTTAAAAGGAGAACTATGAGGTGAGTGATTTTCACTCCGCCTCATGGTTCTAGCCGACCTGTGACAATGAAACTGTCACAGGTCGCCTGAAACTGTCACAGGCCGGCTCAGTAGATCGGGAAGGGAGCGAACACATACCGGCGCTCGCTCACTTCCCGATCCTGTGGCGGCAAAGAGCCGTGACGGGGAGGGACTGGATTCCCCGCTCCCCTGTCAGATTCTTCAGCGCTGACTGGCGGAACGGACGGGGGAGGGGGAGGGTACAGCTGACTCTGCCTCTAGATAGGCAGAGCCAGCTGTCACTCACACAGGTGGGTGGTCTCAGTATACCGCGAGCTGTAGCTGCGGGTAACGGGAGGACGCTAGTTTGTGTCCTCACGTTACCTTTAGGAGAACTACAGGGAAAAGCCCTAACCCCATAGTTCTCCTTTAAAGAATAGCTCTTGTGGTGCTTCGCCTTCTCCCTGTCCACTGTCACTTCCAGGTCTCCTCTCCACCCCACCTTACACACCAGCACACCTGTTGCTTGTTTCTCCACCAGACTGTGAGTGGACAGAGAAAGGAGAAGCAGCAGACCGATGAGCTCACCTCTCTGCTTTCTCCTCCTATTCAGTGGCGTAACAATCACCATAGCGACCCAAGCGGTCGCTATGGGGCCTGGGGCAGCAAAACAGCTGAGGTGGAGGAGGCCGGAGCCTGGTGGCAGTGGAGGAGGAGCCCGGGCCGGGCAGTCAAGCAGCTGAGGAGGAGGAGGAGGCTGGGGCCCGGAAGCAGCGGTGGTGGTCAGGCCTAACAGCGGCGGCACTGGTGGAGGAGGCCGGGGGCGGCGGCCGAGGAGGCTGGGGCCCAGCGACGGTGGTGGAGGAGGTGGAGGATGCCGGGGGCCCAGCAGTGGGCGGCTCAGGGCTGACAGGTAAGAGGAGTGCAGGGAAAGGGACCCCAATCAGCCCACCTGAGACCCTGCAGAGTTCCCCCCAGAGAGTCTTTGGTGGGCTCTGGAGGGTCACTCTCAGGAGGCCTGTGCGGGGTCCCAGGTGGGCTCTGCGGAGTCCCTGGCATGTGTGGGGTCACAGCTGGGCGCTGCGAGGTCTAGGGTGGGCTCGGCGGGGTCTCGGGTGGGCTCTGCAGCAGTGAGTAGCGGAGAGAT